AGGTTTTTGTCTTTGGCCTTCTTAGCTCGCACCACAACATCTATGAAGTTTCACTCCCTCCTGGTGCTCTGGCTCCTGGCGACAACAGTCCCCGCCTGGGTTTCCAGCCCGTCTCTCTGTGCAGGTTTCAGCGCTGCTGCGTCACATTGCTTTGCCCGGGGACCTGCATCCCAGTTGTTCCAGATGGAGAAGTCCTAGCCCTGCCTCTGACCCTTCTGACCCAAACCTGCTCTTCCCTCTTTGTTCTCTCATTCTGATGACATGCTATCTCCCCATTCACCCAAGCCTCACCCTGCGGTTTCTTTGACTCCTAGCTTGCCTCCTGAGCCAGGCCTCCCAGATTCTGCTTCTGAGATGACTCCCAAATCCACACGCTCATCTTGCTCCCCTCGCTGTCGCCAGAGGCCCTCTCTCTGCTGCTTGTGCCCTGAGCACTGATCACCCTAGAGGGTGCTGTTTTCCATACATGCTAAGCCCGTTCACATCCCTTTCACAGGGGATGTCCTTCACTTAAGCAAATGTGCGCTCATTGAGTATCTTCGGTTCCTACTGATGCTGTAACGAATCACACAAGCTTAGTGGCTAAAACTAACATGAGTTTATCCTCTTACTGTTGTGGAGGTCAGAAGTCTAAAAGTGAATCTTGGAGGCTAAACTCAAGGTGTTGGAAGAGATGGTCCTTTCTGGAGACTTCGGGAGAGAGTCTTTGCTTTTCCAGCGTCTGGAGAACACTCACGTCCCTCGGTTTGTGGCCATATCCTTCCAGTCTCTGCTTCCACCATCACATTGCCCACATCTCTGACTTTGATCATCCTGCCTCCCTTCCTCTTAGAAGGACCTTTGTGATTACATTGGACTCGTCCAGAGAACCCAAGTGGAGCTCCCCATCTCAAGGTCCTTAGCTTAATCACATCTGCAAAACGTCTTTTTCTATATAACCTAACAGGTCCCAGGGGTTAGGATGTGGCCGTCTTTGGGGGACCATCATTCTCTCTGCTCCGTTGGATACAGCACTGTGTACGAGGCACTGGACTAAACCAGGACACAGCGAGGGATAGTTTATGGTCTTGTCCTTTGGGTACTTAGAGTTCAATAGTGGATGCTTTTAAAATAAAGTGTAAGTGCTATGCAATTTAGGAGGGCTGCTTGGAAACACGGAGGGGCATGGGGCCTGCCCCTTTGTGGAGCCACTGATGTCCCACTTACTCTGCAGGGCCCAGCTCAGACATCACGAGGGGACGTGTCTGTGCAGAGGGGACCCCTCTGTGCAGAATTCACGCTCTCTTCCTTCTGGTGCCCTTGACCCTGTGCTCATAGTCCTGTACCTGCCCCTTTCTGTACTGCTCCCTGGGCCGACCTGCCTTGCCGGATTGTAAGCTCTTCAAAGGGAAGGCTGTTATTTTCCTCAGAATCATCCCAGATGCAGCTAGGACCTTCCCCACCCCAGTCCTTGAGCCAAATCCTCTGCACAGCATACAGTGTACAGCGCCCCCTGGACGTGCTGGTACATGGAACAGGTGCATGACCTGGAAAAACGGAGGGGTGCGTGCAGAGATGCTGCAAAGAAGAACCAGGAGGCACAGTAAGACGGCCTCTAGAAGCATAGGAGGGGCTTGACGGAGCTCATTCAGATCTGGTTCCCTGGCCTCAGGAGTCTGCAGCCAGAGTCGCTTGTCCCTATGCGTGCGTGGCCGGAGCCGGGTTGACGGGCCTGAGCCGCCGTCTGTATCTGCCAGGGCTGAGCACTCGGCTGATTCCCCGATGTGAGCTGACTTTCTGAGCTGGAGCACATTGGCTGGCAGCCTGTGCCAACACACAGGTTTCCACCTGTGCTTTGCTGGGTGGTTCAGAACCACCTTTAATTATGCGAGACCACAAATTTGTTTTCAAAATCGTTTCTCTTCCCTCCTGTTAGCAGAAGCAGCCTGGTAGGAATTATCTGGGTCCTAGAAGGCCTGTAGGTCACAGCGAGGAGATTTACTTCATCAGATTAAAGCCTATGTGCTTACTCAGCTGCCAACAATTCCCTGTTACCTTTGTCCCAGGTTCCACATTGCTCAAAGCCCGGTCGCGAACTCTGAGGACTGAATCCTCAAAACTTTCTCTTCGAGGAGGAGCCCCAGCCCAGGAGAACACCCACTTCTGCTCAGCTTTGTGAAAACACGTACGTGTCTGGATTCCAAACGGGTGGAAGACCTAGCAGGTGGGTCTGAACAAGAGCAGGCTCAGAGACGAGCCACCCACCCCTGAGACCTCAGGCCCCTCCTTTTCGGCTTCCTTGTGTCTTTTGCACATAAAAGCAACAAAACCAGAAAGACTAATTAGAACGTTTCCAAGTTTCTTTTGCAAGGTCTCCGACACTTTCAGGCACTCTGCTCCCATCAAGAGGGCTTGTCAGCAGACACCTCGGATGGCACTCCTGTTCAATTAGTGAGCAAACGGCATCCAGCCACATTCTCCTCTGGTTTGCTTTGCAGGGGAGCCCAGAGCCCGAGCCGCTAGGCCAGCCAGCCACGCCCACCTTCCAGAGTCCCTGCCAGTTCATCCCATCGTCTGACTAGCTCAGCTTTCTTCACGGGAATTAGTAGCATGGTTTCCCAAAACAATGGTTCAAATCAATTTGCAGAACATCAGTTATAATGAGCTAAGTGTGGGCTAATACATAGATTTTGCAAGCTGCAGCTCCTATTCAATTTAATTACCTCCCTCTGCGGATTTAAAATCAACCAGAGCTTCAGACAAAAGGGGTTTTCATCACTTTCCCAGAAATCTGCATGGTAGGTATATGCCCACAGACCAGGCTATGCTAAAGTAGGCAGCATCCATCAAAACTGACGTAACCATGGTGAAGCTGTCAAACCAAGGGTTCTCACGGTGATACCTGGGAAGGCGCAGATACCAGTGAACACTCATGCTTTGTCATTGCTGGGAGAGCTGAGTGAAGTGGGTGGGGGTGTCACCACACCGCCCAGCTCACTCCTGCACCCCAGGCCGTCACTCCTGCCAACTGGTATCCTCTGGCCACACTGCACTGGCAAAAGACATCCCTGGGCAGGGGGGTGTGTTCTTGACTTCTTCTCTCAATCAAACCCCAGTCAAAGCCCAGTTCAGCAGGCGTTTGAGGGCTGGCTCTATAAAAGGTACAGAGTCAGTGCTGCAGGGTTTAGGGTCTTAGGACAAGACCTCTGCCACCTAGATGCTCACAAACTCCTAACTGTAATACAAAAACTGTGATAACAGAGGTATAAGGCAACTAAGCAGGCCCAGAGGAACAGGGAGCTAATTCTACCCGGGGAGTAAGGGGGGTGGATTTGACAGTCTCGAATAATAAGAAGAGCTCCCCAAAGTAGACCTGGGGGTCTGAGTGCTGAAGGTTGTGCTCTGAACAAAGTAGAGAAGCGGGAATGTCAAGGGCTCATCCAGGGAAGGGGAGGCGAGGGGTCTGATGTAGTCAGCCATGTGTGGGGCTCAGGAACAAGACTTGGGGGTGCCAGGTTTGAACAGGAGCACACAAAGAGACAAGCCAAGAAATTTAGGGTGCGATAGGAAGCCACCAGGGGCTTCTCAGAAAGAGTGGCACCGTCAGATGTGTTTCAGAAAGGCAACTCGGGCTGCAGTTAGTGGGATGAGCTGGAACTGAGGCCACGCAATCAAGATGGGGTCTTCAGATCTGAAGAAGAGAGTTTCCATGCACTGGGGAAGGGGTCTGTTAGGACAGTACCACTGTATGAGTCAAGCAGCAAAGCCGATTTCAGACCAAGGGCTCGTCGGCTGCTTAAAACCGACCAGAGGGGTGTTTGGAGGTTCCAGTTTAACGGAGCCTAGCGCAGACAAGTCCCCATTCCAGCACTCCCTCCACTGAGCCCACTTTCCATTCTCATGCCTCACGTGCACTCCCTACAGATTGTTCCCGCTTTGCAGTTTTGTTGAAATTACATTTCCCCACTAACTTTCACACTAATATTCTTGCAAAAATGCTTCAAAGAGCACCAATATGGCACAGGAATTAACACCTGAGAATCTTGTTTGCATTTTCCCACCCATGACAGGCCCCTGGTTACTTCATCAAGAGCAGATGGGCAGCCCAGGGGGTTCTCCACATCCATTTGATTTGTACCTACAGAAGAGTGTTTCTTTCTGAAATCCAGAGATGATTTATGTCATATTGTATCAACTCAACTCAAAGAAAACAAGACACGTGGCTTAAAAACGGATTCACTGCAACGAATAAGAATAATGAATTGTCCTTATGAAAGGCTGGCTGTCCTGTCTTCTTACATTTGCAAACTTTAAGCACAGCATATTCAAGTTAGATTTACAGCGCCACATGCTGGGATGTTACAAGTAAAATAGCCAGGGCACACCAAGCCTTCTGTGACCTGCTAAGTGCTTCTCAAAATCACATCGTGGCAGATGCAAATAATTATTTCCCCAACAGAAATCAAGACCCTGACTCAGGGCGATTTTCTGCACAGCCAGCATTTGGAGGGGAGGGGCGGGGGAAGGTTGAATGAATGCTTGTCATATACCGCCGTGAAGGGTGTTATTATTGCCACATGATGTAAATGATATAAACCAGGTTTGTGAGTTCTGAAATAAATTCTGGACCACACAAGCCCAGCAGTAACAAGTGACTTGTTAACGGTAATTGATGATCACTTTTTTTGAAGTTCTTAAGAACTGTGTTGAATGACAATTTGAGAACGGCTCATTTTCTCACTGACCCCTGAGGATCTTTAAGCTTTCAGGTAACAACCTGAAGCCTTCAGGCCTTGGGTACTGCTGAAGTCCACAGATTTAAGTAAAGCTGCGAATTTCTGGAAACTAGAGGAGTCACAATTTTACAAATTAATATTACGTCCTGTTACTTTAGCTGGTTTTACAGATGAATATTATGAATGAAATCAAAGGGCTGTGCTTAACTTCTGTCAGACCTTTGATCTTAAAAGTAAAAGCAAGCAGAGGATCGTGGTTCACACATAATAAACACAATCTCCAAATTATTAAAAAGGCATTTTATTATAAATACATTTTAGTTGTAGCAGTAAAATACATTTTGTGTTACCATGAATCTTTTAAAACAAAAGAACTTCACTGAGACAATGATCACAATGTAGGAACTGCAGACCCCCAAATTGAAAACTTGTTCTAAGGAACCAAAGTGGCTAAAGAAATTCCAAAACTAAGTTAAAAAAAAAGGAAACGACAGAAAAGGAAGAAAATAAAAACCCTAGAGAATGGCTTTGGGGTTATTTTATGGTACAAAGTCATTTTTACTTTTAAGGATAAACTCTTAAGGTATTAGAACCTCTCGGACGAGGTATCGTTAACTGTAAGAAATAATAATAATTTTGTTATAATTTTGCCATAACTTATGATTATTACATGACTGTACAACTGGTACTTATAAGAGATGGAAACTGACCATCTCAGTTTTATATAGCCTCCCTTTGGAAGACTTGCCAAAAGAAGACCCAGTATGAATTTGCTAAGTAATTGATTGTATGAAGTTAGCTGAACAAGTTTAGATAAGAACTTGTATTTTTGAAGCATAAAAAAAAACCCTGTGTCATTAATAACAGGACCCTTTAATAAAATGCAAAACCCATTACCTTTATAATTTAGAGGAGAGGTATTTTAATCACCGTATTTACCTAGGATACAACTACTACGTATAACCAGTACCTTCATGGGTTTCAAAGAATCAGGTCGGATGACTGGCACAGAAAGCGGATACAGTACAATGTCATACACTTGGGTTTATAGGAAGCAGGCATGGTCTGGATACGTAAAAATCCAAGACCTTTCCTCTGAATGGGAGGGGGTGCTGAGAAACATTCTCAGGTGTAACTGACGCGTCCGTCAGGACCTCAGCCTGGATAAAAGGACCCTCCGACCGACGGAAAGAGACAAGAGGTCTTTGCATCCAAGGCATCGTGCAAAGCAAAGTGTGAATAAACAGAAGCTCCCTGTGAGTTGGAACTGGATAAAGTAACCTGTGCTGAACATATAAACGATCCCACCAAAGGTTAGCAAGCCTTTCAAGGAGGAAGGACTGTGTTTTAAGAATTCCAAAACTGTGCGTTCTACGATGCTTATCATATGCACTACTTCTAAGTCGTTCTATAATCTATCACCTTAAAAATATTTTATTTTTCTCTTTCTTGTGTCTCAGTAAATTCAAAGCCAAACTAAAAACCAGAGGCCGAGACCAAAACCCCTCAAGCTGCACTGACTCCAGGGGGAATATTAACAACAACGACACTAACACACACATTTTTAAAATATCCAAAGACCTGTAGGTTGATTATATTGTAGGCAGTTTCTTTCTCAAAAATAACTTGTTCATACATGTGCACCTATGGTTTATGAACAACTCATGCTGTGTAGGTGGTAGATTCCCCTAGACTGTTGCTTTTTCTTTCTTTTTTTTCAAACATAGTTTTTTGTTGTTTTTTGTTTTTGAAGATAGCAAAGCAATCAGAGACAATGATCAACTTTCTGCCATATACATCACTTCAGGCTCCCCGAACACCCACCGGCATGGCAGAGAATCCAAAATAATTGTGTTAGCCTGAGAAACACATTAATTTGAAAAGCAAATCCTTTGTCCTCAACTCCCTCACCCCCAAAGCATGAAAACTACGAATACATCATTCGGGGATTATCTGTCATTTTTGGTGCTCCGTGTCACTGCCACCTCAGGACAGGGCCTCCTGTACTTAGCGCCTTGTAAATGCAAAGTGAATCATCGTGATGTTTGAACGGCTTCCTCCCACAAGTCTCATCTCTGTGTATACAGACCATCAAGATTGCCTCTAAGCTCTTCAAACAGATGCACGGCTTCCAAACCAAAGCCCAGGCTGCAGTGCACACACACCAAATCCACCCTAGAAATAAAAGAGCCCCTGCACCCTGACACGGAGGAGCAGCGCAGACCTTATGGAGGGTGAGCGCTGGAAGGGGGTGGCCACCATCCGAGGGGCTCGTCACTCCATTGAGGTTTTTCTCCATGAATGTCCCACTCATGGCATCAGAATTATGTCCAAGAGACTAGTTTTGTATACTGAGTAAATAAATGCATGACTGACAAGACCTTCAGATGCTCTCTAGACCAGGGGTTCTCAAAGTGTGGTACCCGGGCCGGCAGCATCAGGGTTGCCTGGGAACTTGTTGGAAATGCAAAGGATCAGGCTCCAGCCTGGAATCAGAAACTCTGGGGGTGGGTCCAGCGACCCGTACTTTAACAAGCCCTCCAGGTAATTCTGACGCTGGCTACCGTTTTAGAACCACTGCTCTACCTTGCTCAAAACTTGAAAATCTTAAAGCAGGACAGATTTGTAAACAGATAGTCCTGCATGGCTTCTATTCTGTGTTGAAATCTATGGAATCTGCCCCTTCCCCTCAACTGCTCAAACATAAAAAAAGAAAAAGAAAAAATATATTTCAAAAAAGTTAAAAGTAATATTGGTTTCCCCTCCTACACATAGTTCTAAGGCAGGCAGTCACGTGCTAGCAAAATGCAAACTAAAATACAGAAGAGACCTCATATGTGAGGCATAGAAAGAGCTGAAAAGACTCCCAAAGAACATAATGAAGATTTCGTAATATTGTTTAATGAACTTATAGAATTATATAAAACTTACTATGCTTTATGCTTAATATTCATATCAAAATAAAATCTCTGTATTGAACAAATTGCAAATAAAGTCAGGTCTAATTCTCTGATGATAAACTATAGGTCCATGAATGCCTCTGGGTTTTCTTAACATGCCAGCTCTAGGAGCTCTAGACTACCACTGTATAACCACAGTTCATGTTACTAAGTCTAGATTCTTCTACTAGGTGCCTCCTTTCAAAAAAATTGAGGAACTCCCTGTGACTATTTCCTGAACATTTATTCCAAAGTAGATATTTTCAAACATTTTGAAATTTTTAAATGCTACATTAAAATTTTTCATTTTTAAACTGTTTGATAATCTAGTTTCAAGTAATAACAGCCATTTTCTGAATGTGTTTTGCAAGACTGTTAAATGTTAGGAGGATTCACTCCTTGTAACAATGGTTTTGAAATTGCTAATTAAACAGGTACGAAAGTAGTAAGTGTGAATTTAGCAGCTTTACAGTAAAATCGAGGCAAATAAATATCCAGCCTCAAGTAGATGGAGAATTCGAGACACCTAATGTAATGAGCACTTTGAAGACTAACATGCCACTTACTCTTTCATGAAATCATGGTATCATGAAGAAATCATAGAACATTATCCATTATTTCTAATTGCTGAATAGTTTGTGGATCAGATGGCAAAGAGCGGAGCAAAAAATCAGATCCATTAAAACACTTATTTCGAGATTTGGAAAAGCAAACAGGGTAGTGGTAGAAATTGATGGTTCCCACACGTTAAAGGGATGGTTAGCAAGAAATAATGCCTGGGAAATCATAAAAGACAAATTACTACCTTTGTGAATCTAAAAGAAAAGAAAAGAAAAAAGACCCAGGTAGCCTACGTGACATTTAAGGCAGCAATTTGCATCTTTCAATATATTTAAACTTTTAATCTTGTATTTTTATAGGCTTTTTCTGGGTTTCCTTTTTAAAAACAACTCCAGTATGAAACAGTGCTATCCAAGGATAACAGGTGTCTCTTCTTAAAACGATTTCAGTGAATCTAACTTTCTTCATAACAATAGTTGAAAGCTAAAATTTATCTTGAAACTGGTTTTCACATCCTGGCTCTTAGGCAGAGTGGCTCTCTCTAGTCAAGGTAGCTAGGGATATATTCGCATATGTTTATAGCTTTGCCTTTGAGATGTATATACATGGAAAATATTAAACATGTAAAATCAACTACACTAGAGTAAGGTAATACTATATATTAATTATCTCAAGTTAGGAAATTCAGTTAGCTTTCTCAGCAATTTCAGTGCCTCCATAAACAAGGAAACTGTTTTCACAAACAGTTCTTGGAGATTGCTGTGTTTAATTAGGCAACGCTTATTCAGTGGGAATTCTGCTTGTTTTACTTATTCTGCAATTCTTTGAACTGAAAAGACCAACTGATGTTTACACCAAACCTGAACTTATCCTAGAATCTCTGATGAACAGAAACCACACAAAGCAGTTTGTTATTTCACACATACAAAATGACCTGGATAGAAAGCAGATCTGTCTGAGGGAAGGAAACTTAAGGTCATGTTAGTTTAAATGGTCAATAATTAACTACTGATCAATCAAAAACAAAGCCCTGCTACAACAATTTGGCAAAGCATATGCCAAAATGGCAGCCAAAACCCCTTTTAAAAACACACCAGAAAATATCCATGTTACCCTGAATGAGGCTCTTCAAATCTTAACAGAAATTCATTTTTAGATCAGGAAAAAAAAATTTAGCATGAAAACTCTACAAATTCTATCGTCCACAATAATTCCTTTAAGATAAAAAAAGAAAATCTCAGTAGCACTGAAATTAAAAAGTAAAATGAATACAAAATAGTTCTGGCAAAAAAAAAGGGAACTTCAGAGTGATACAAAGAACAAAGAAGTAGAAAGACATCAGGTGAACAATTACCCACACTAAGAAGAGATCTGTTCTGGAAGAAAAGGAAGTTGGTAATACTCAGTATTATCCAAGAGCACTTTAAAAAAGAAAAAAAAATTCCATCTGAACTCTAGGGTTGAATCTAGTATATGAAATTCAGTCGTCCCTCAGTATCTGCAGGGGATTGGTTTCAGAACCCCCAGGAACACCAAAATCCACGGATGCTCAAGTCCTTTACGTAAAATGACAGTATTTGCATATAATTTTCACACATCCTCCCATATATTTTAATTCATCTCTGGATTACTTATAATACCTAATACAATAAAAATGCTATGTAAATAGCTGCCAGCACATGGCAAACTTAAGTTCTCCTTTTTGGAGCTTTCTGGAGTTTTAAAAAATATCTTTGATCTGCGCTTGGTTGAATCCGTGGGCACGGAACCTGCAGACACAGAGGGCTGACCGCGAGTTGTTTTGTAAGTCTGATTTGTGGGCCCCTGCTAGTACTACCCAAGTCATGCCCAAACAGCATGAGCGGTCCTCAGAAACCACGCCTCATTTCAATGGAAACTTGCAATGATTCTTTCAGTAAGACTTTCTCACAACCGTTATAAGACACTATGCATAAATAACATTTAAAGCATGGCAGGAAGGATGGTATTAAGTAATGCTGAGAAATAAGCTTGTTAGAGGCTGAAATACGCATTCGAAGCCAAATCTAGAAGAGTATTAGATGGAAACAACATTCGAATTCTTGATTGGCTGTACAAAACGATGAGAAATACTCACTCAAGAGCAAAGCAGTGGACTAAAAAATAGCTATTTTTTTTTGTTTTTTTTAAGAAGTAACTGCTTAGAACAGCGATGTCACAACAACAGCTTCCTTATGCAAAGCTTCCCTCAATATATTTATATGTGTACATGACCTCTTTAACTAAATATACATATAAATAATTTAAAAACTGGTATTTTGTTCAAGTATGGAGAACAGGAAATTCGACAATTACCTCATGACAAGGGGTTAACTGAAAGTCCTGACATGACAGTCCTGTCTTCGTAAGATCCACCTGCTTTTGGACACTTATCTGGCTTGTGTTGTAGTCCTGCGTGTTTGTGAGGGGGGAGAATCATCGCTGACAAGAACATTATTTTTCATGGACCCCTCACATCAGGGAGGCTGCATTTTCATTTAGGCTACATCTTGAGTTTTGTCATAGAGTTGGAAATACACAGCTGTATAACAATATTTTTTTTCTTCTTTCCTTGTGACTAAAGAATGCTGAGGAAAATTTGACCTAGCTAAGCGTGGTGATCTGACATCATACAGAGAAAACGAGGTGCTGTGACTTGCTGGCTCGGTTTTCACCTGTGACTGACGCTAACCACGGACGCGCTGCTGTCTACAGGTCAACATCTGCCACCTTACAGAGAGCCGCAGCCTGCGGCGTGAAGCCACGTACAAACGAACTGCGCTCTGAGCAGAAAGACACAACTGAATAAAAGAGGTACGCTTCGTTTGTCCTTCAACTCAAGGCACTCTCTTCTCCAAAACTGTCTGAGGATGACAGGGGGGTTGTTGCTGGCCAACATCGACTCAGCTCCCGTGGTGGCAGTTTTTTCTTTACCCCTCCACTTTTCAAGTCTGTTTTAAAAATGGACTGCGAATACAGGATGGCCTATTCCAAAGGAGTCCTCCAATAAACTATTTTTGAATGGATCATTAGGATCCACTCAGGATTTGCAACGTTTCCCAACCTCATCTTATTTGAAAAAAAAAAAGAGGTTATATTGTAGTCTCAAGATACCTCTGAAGTATAAAAGTAGTACTACTAGACCAGGAAAGCAATAGGACATGCATCGCTTTAAAAGTGTTACAAGACCACAAGTTTTAAGAGGGTAAACATTTTCCTTTGGATTTTTACCAAAGTTCATTCAAAACAATTTTTCAGACTGTAGAATATTTAAGATAGCTATTTAAATTTTATGTTTTTGTACAAGTTCAGTGGGGTTCTTTTAGAAGAATTGAAAGACATGAAAAACAAGGGTAGTTTTTTGTCCCAGATTTTGATGAATTTTGATACACCTTTGACAAACATTATATTTCTTTTTTAATGATGTTCCTCAAACAAAACAGTTAGCAAAATCTTTGAATTGCCATGGATAATGTCACATTTTAATGTAAACATCAAATAAGGTACCAAAATTTTTTACTGGAGGGAAAAGGAACCTTAAAGCGGCACAACTCTTTATCCCACTGGAGGGGGAAGGGGGAGCCAGATTACAAACATTTACACATGCATAGTGAGGAAAAAAAGATTTTACTAAATTCACGCATTTTTAAAATAGTTATCAAGTCTACTAAGCACCAACAATCCTAAAAATTTTTCAGCTTCATGATTTGTTTAAAAAAAAAAACACACTATCAAATTAACATTAAAAACAAGCTTGAAGTAGAGCTTGTCCAAAAAATAACTAAGTATGCCACTGTTTTTTTTCACGTTACAAAAAACAGTGGCATATGAAATACACCTGCAAAAAATGCCTTTAACTCTATCCTACAGTGGATGGAGAGTACAACAGCACATCATACATAGTCTAAAACTATAAAAGTTTTAGAATGCAGCATCTTGTCACCAAAAAAAAGCTGATAAAACTCAAAGTATTTAGAGGATGCTGCCCCTTTATTTTAAAAAATTTTAAATGAATTTAAGCAAAAATAACATACATTTGTACATCAACTGGCCATTTCTGGTACAGAAACCCAGCATATGGTAATATTATTGAATAAATGTAAATGCTACTTACAATTTTTTTTCTTTTTAAATACATTTTAGACAAACTTTTTTTTTCTCTTTTTTTATAGTTGCACAATTAACCTCTTAGCTGCTAGCTTGATGCAAACATATGTAACAATACACAAATTTAAAAATATTTTTTATTCTACATAAAAGCTGTCAAAATTCCGACTCACGTCAAAAATGCAAAATAATGGAATATACTTTTAAAAAATTAGTTGCAAGTCTAGCAGCAAAGCAATTAAGTAAGAACATATTTAATATTAAAACAAAGGGAACTGTGCAGCTATAGGTGAAGTCCAGCTATCTTAATCCTATTGATACAAACAGAAATGAAAACATTCTCCCTTGAGGAAAAAAAAGGTGATTATTTAAAATAGGAGTAAAAGCCATTGCTGCCCGATGAGCTCCCCAGGCTGAGTTCCTGGAACAGAGACAGAGGGTCGCTGCTCTTCTTGGCCTGCTCCGGCGGGGGCCTGGGCTTGGGAGGGGCGCGCAGAGCGCTGGCGTAGGACATGGCCGGCTTGCTGCCTCCAGAGCTCTGCTGGCTGCTGCTGCTGGCCGACTCCGCGATCTGCTTGTTGGGCATGAGTGGGGGGAACTGGCCGAGATGCTGCAGCACATTATAATTGAAGGAACTGGACACCTCGAGGTTTTCAGACTTCAGATGATCCTCAGAGGGTTTGACCGTCTTGGGTGGAGCTAGAAGCAGAGAACAGTGACACTGACTGAAGGGCAAGCCCAGTGATACTAGAGCGTCTCATTAACTGGTTCTCATCTCCGGGAACTCAGTGACTGCAGAGCCACAAGGACAGACAACTTCTGCCACAGAAGGCTGAAATCACAACACATCCAACCAAACTTCTCTGTCTTATAAACACTTGAAAAAGAATTAACTCTGTGAAGTAGAATAACTAAATGTGTAAAAACTAAAGGTCAAGTATGATTTTGACCAAAAGCTATCGTAAAAGTTAGATGGAAAAAAAGAAGTGATGTTGCTGCTTCAAAAAACTAATCTGCACAATTGTACACTTTGATATTTATTATATTAACTGCTCATAGTTTGCAAATGGGAAGAAAATGTGTTCTTTCTTACATAAAAAGAAGCTGTACATGCAGCCAGCCTCCTGGTCAAAACAGCTTTCATTATTAACCTAAGAAATGGTAGCATCAGATTTTAATTCTTAAAAATGCCATCTTTTCTTGTAATACATAAATAAACATGGAATAAGGTGGGGAAAAACAGCTATAAACTTTACTTCCCATTTCCTATAATCTGTCTGACTCGCAAGGTCCTTTAAAATTTGACTCCCCTCTTCCTAATTTGGTGGCCCACCAAATCAGAACTTGTTTTATACATTGCTTTTCTTTTCTAGCTTTTGAAAGTTTAACCAACATTATATTGGATTACAATCATACTTTTCATTGAGGATAACTTGGAAATTACACAAAAGACCAAAGAAGGAAGTAAGTTGTTCATTTTCCCAAATACCAGAGAAAAGCCTTAACTTGTTGGTGCATTTTTTCCTATGTCATATAACGCAGATATTTCATAACTTTTTAAAGTGACCTCTCTTTTTACAAATTTGGATAATAGTCAATTTTTCACTTTTCTACACTGTGATAAATGTTATTATAGATAAATATTCCTAAACATTCATGACTGTTTCCTTAGGATAAATCCCTCAAAGTACAATGGTTGGGTCATACGGTGCATACAAAATGAAGGCTTTTGATAACTGTGGCCAAACTCCCCTGCAGGAAGATACCGTAATTCACATCCAATCAACAATGTTGGCTCATTTTCCTACTCCATCACGACATTAATGTTATTATTATTATTTTTCACTTTAGCCTATTTTATAAATAAATAATTATCTTGTAGTTCTAATTTGCATGTCTTTGATTACTAGTATTTATGGACATTTTTTCCTATGTTTATTACCTATTTGTGGATTGGAAAGCTGAGGTGAACATATTTCACTTTTTAGTCTAAGTATTTCATTGATTCAATATGCTAATTTCATAGAACTATTTAAAAACTTAAACAATTCATAAAATTGTTCAACATTATTTTAAGCCACTTAACATCCTTCTAGAACATTTATTATCTTTTCCGTCCAAATGCCACTGCTTTTGTGAATGAATAACTGCTTTTAAGAGCATTAGTTTAACAAATATTTCAAGATAAAAGTGGCCTTACTACCTAACATAATGCATAAAATATTTTATTGGCCATTCAAGAACCTACTATTTTTATTTATTTTACTAAGATTTCATATTTAACCATATTCTCATTTTCATGACAATATAGAATTTAGAATGTTTTCAATTAAATAATACTTCCAAAATAATATTTTAGAGGCAGTTAACCTAATGCCTACACTCTTATCTAACCATGAGTCTAAGATCTCTATCGGTTTCACTTACTGTATATCCTCCAGATAAGACAAACTATTCTTATTCATATTTAAAACTATGAATTTTACTAATCTGGCAACCAATGATTTTTTTTTCGAAATACACATCTCTATCTAATCTTTAAATATTCCTCTGTGCATGAAAAGAAAATGCCTGATGAATTTATGCCTTGTCACCAAGATAAGTGACTAGCACCGAACACATGCATGTTGGAGAGACGAGCCCACCAGGCACAAAGGCCCCGCAGGAGGACTGGATCACCCTCTTGATTGCACAGGATCTGTTTTCAGGATCTCCTTACTCAGGAGGCATTTACCAAGAGCCTGAAGTGTGATCAGTGCCAAAAGGGGAGACCAAAGTTCAGAAAGGTCAAAGACATGGTCTCTGTTCTCAGGCTTGCAACTGCGGAGAAGACAGGGCCATCTCTAGCCACCATGACCTCTTTCAAATTCCAAACCAATATAATATGAATAGTTTCCTTCAACTCAAGAAGTAAGTCTCAAACTTCAGAAAGAAGTTTCCCAACTGGTGATTATATTCCTCTGACTCACCACTTGTAATTGCTACATTCCTCTAAAAAAAATAAAGTAAAATGATAAATACACACATACATACATACATACATATGTACGTACTGTTAGACAAGAAGTGGTGCTTCATCAGGATATTAGTGATTTTGAATTAATTCTTAAACACTAAGTGTTACTTTCAACTAAAGAATACTACTATTTGTCTCCTAGCAATAAAGAAAATAATAATTTTATATTTGTGGAAAAGATGGCATAAATGACATGTGCTTTGGGCATTTGTTCAGGAAATTTCTACCTTATCAGATTTTTATTGATTTTGACCCAAACCTATCCTAAAATTTAGATGGAAAAAAAGGAGAAATCATGCTGTCTTTAAAATAAATTATCATAAAAACTAAAAAGTAATAAATTTTCATCACTGATTTGTAATTTAGATGTTTCTCAGGAAATTCAGCTATGATAAATGTATTTTTGTTAGACCTTTAAAATGACAATGCAACCCCAAGCAGCTTCTACAGAGTTAGTGCTAATGAATGACAATGTCTCTTGCTAGGAACGAAACCAGTACCTTTTTACTGCTTTCTGCCCTGTTATACCTATTGTTCTAAAAATAACGCTTGTATGGCACATACTCCAAATGGGTCAGTTACAGAAACAATGGATTCACATTCTACAGATGAACAAAATTAATCTCAAACACAGAGGTTAATGCTACCAGGGCGGAAATTCAGCAAAGATTACAGACTTGTTCACAAAGATCAATGTCTACAGTCCACAAAGAGAGTCTCTAGATTAGAGAAGTCAAACAGTATCATTCTTAACATCTAATATTTCTTTACATTTAACACACACACACACAAAGAGGGAACCAAAGGAAAGATAAAAGTGCATTTGTGTTCAAGGCTAAAGAGGAAAGTCTTTTAGACTTCCCACCACCCAAGGTAGAGCCATGTCCATTCCAATGCTTTCCTATCTATGCCTTCTTTTTTCCCTCTTTGGCCTTTGGATCTCTCATTCACTAAAATATAAGGAATAAACATCAGATTTCTAAATCTCAAAATGTTAAGACTTTACTGGTTTCTCTTGTGGCCAAACTCAATTGTGAAGCAAACTGTCAACAACTTTATTGACAATAAATCCTTGAAATTTAGTGGTACTGACCTAACCCCACCCCAACCCTGAAGCAAAAACAAAAATCCAGACAAAGGTGAGTCTATTTAGAGATACATTTTCCCATTACTTCCCATTCATTCACAGATGAAAGTGATCAAAATGATCAGTTCCCAAATACGGGCAGACCTACTTACCTTCCAGACCGTAAGTAAGGAACCAACATAGTCCTAAATTAGCGCCTGAGGCACACCTGTGAGCTGTGAGCATTAAATGCTGTTCAAAGATCATAATGCAAATGGAGGGGACGGGAGAAGAAAAACCCCACAAATACCCAGCAGCTGAGCGGTTAAAACTACAACTGTGGCAACGCACCAAGCCCGCCTTACCGATCAGCTCTCTGGGCTGCGCTGTCCTGCTGGATCCATTGCACGGAATGTTCTGATAGGGGGTAGATGAGGTGGTGTTTACCCAGGACTCCGGGGAGGAAAAGTTGAAAGAAGATTGGTTATTATGGTCCTGAAGCTCTTTACACTGAGCAAGACTGTCTTGAGGAGTGCTTACTTCTTCAGAACAAGGCTGGACTGAGCTAGATGAGATTCTTCTTTGGTACAAGGGCCGGCCAGGTCCTCGGGGTTCATACTACACAAAGAAAAAGGGCATTTCATAAATCAGTGAAACTTACACCCCACTCCCTTAGGTACACAGCAATCTCACTGTATTAAGTGGAAATTCTCAAAAACATTCTTTTCCGTGACTGTGAAAACTGCCCAAGAAACAGCCTGAGCTCTGGACACAGCGTCAGGAGACCTGGGTTCAAAACCCAAGTTCTGGCCCTTAGCAGGTAGTCCTATGACAACACACACCTAATTTCAGACTCTGTTTTCTTGTCTGCAAAATATGGAGCTGAACTACCTGTCTTCAGTTCCAAAATTCTATCGACATTCTAGGTAAACATTAGATTAAGAATAAGAATGAAGAAACGTATCTTCTCAAAATTAGTGGGGAAATTACAGTCAGAATCTACTGAATCACAACCATCTTGAACACACTCATCCATTCTAGACGCATCTCGTGGGCCCTTCACAAACTTCCTTAGTTTATTATTCCTTAGACCAGATGGCAAGACAGGATTCCTCCTAGCCAACATGAGTGCCCCTGATTGGATTCCCTGCACGTCTCCTTTTAGACAGTCTCCAAATGAAACAGAACATTCATTAGTCTTGATATGTCTGAAACCTGATTAACGTTTTTCTCCTCCCTACACTGCACAACCCAAATTTCTTTAACCCTCTCAACAAGACGTATTTGCCAGACATCTCCAGATATTTTATTGCTACCTAAGCACCCTCCAAGTTTTTCTGGCCTGACTGCTGTGACCAATATTCAGTCTCAGTTCTAACAGCAAGGCAGTATGGAGCAGTAGTTAGGGGTGCAGCCTAAGTCTGGAGTCAGAATCTCTGGTTAGACTTCAGGCTGCTTTTTACCAGCAGTGTGACCCTGGGCAATTGACTTAATCTTTCAGGAACTTCGGCTGTGAATATGGCTTCATTATTCACAGCACCTACCTCTTAGGATTGTTGTGAGAATTGAGTTCAGCATGCATAGCATTTAGAATAGTTCCTGGCATACAGGAAGGGTTTGTTATTAGTGTAACATATAAAGATAAGATTCCATGTTAGATCTTACATGACAGGACGGAACTGGCTTTTTTAACTGCCCCCTCTTTCTCCCCCAACATAATGATTTGCTATACAGTTTGTGGTCATTATGATTCGGAAGAATCTTTCTTTTACCATGGTTGTTAGCAATAATTGGAAACCAGGAACTGGAGGTTAGATTACAAAGAAGAGAGAGAGAGAGAAATCGGCACAGAAACAGCAGGATTTGGAGGGTGGGGATGCTAATATAAGACAGAACAAGCAGATATTGTCAAGCCAACTAAATGGGGGAACTTGTGGGTGTCAAGCACGTGAGGTCAACTCATCACAAGATGGAACCACAAGGATATAAACCAGGCTAAGGAATGGGTCTGGACTGGCTGCTTTGAGCACAAAGGAAGGAAGGAGAGGAGGGAGAGAAAGTCTTTCCCTATTAAATGATGAGTGCTCAGGTCATTTCTGTATTTCCAAAGTTTTAGCCACTGGATGAGGAAGGAGAGAGATAATACTTCCATCTAGTTAATTCCTTTTCTCATATATTTTTATTCTTCTGTCTCTAAGTATAGAATGTAAAGTCATCCTTAATTTTATTCTGCTTTAAGGGCAATTTTTTTTCAATCGTCAAGATCATTTTGAATTTGAATCTTATTTTCTAGAATATTAACCATTCCAACTAGGGTCAACTGTGAATTTAATCAGCACATATGAAATTTCTTTGTCCAGGTCATTAACTCATGGTATTAAAGAACCAACCTTCCTAACCTGCTTCATGTTTGCTATTACTAGGCAATGCCTGAATGATTGCTTTCAACAGCTTGTGTCCTGTGCCTTTTTTATCAACGTTGGTTAACTCCTAGAATCAAAATAAAGTATTTCTTTTATTACCATGCCCCGAGTGTTTAGCCCAGTCACAAACTGTAGGGGATCACATTCTAAAGTCTTTATGTGTGAATACTACAGTACAAAACTAATGTCTGTTAATGGCCTTAGAAAATAATCAAATCCCCTGGCAATACAGAACATACTCATATGAATTTCAGGCATTAGCTCTATAACCCCGTTTCACTAAATACTGAACATATATACACTGGTAATATAAACAAACACCTTTTTGCAATGAATAGATACATGAACCACAGAGCTTAAATGAGGAAAACTAAAAACCAGAAAGCAACGGAAAGCTGATATGAAAGGGGAAAATATTCAATTAGACTTTTTAGAAAATGTGTATCCTTTGTATCTTCCAAACTGAAATCCCCCCAAATCACACAACTGACATGCACAGTGGGACTTGTGGAAGTACTGTCTAACATACTTATAGTAGCTCCTAAGTAGCTGCCGACAAAGATGAATGTGTAGACAAGACATGAAATTAAACCTCAGACAACATGAATGTGACTGATCCTTTATGTTACAAAAAGAACCAAAACTTGAAATTGTTTGAATGTTCTTAAAATTAGATAAATATGTTAAAGATGTGTGTGTGTGTGTGTGTGTGTGTGTGTATACACATCTGGTACATCTATTTCCTACACCACAAATGAAGGTAAATGCATGAAAATAATGATTTGCCACTTTGGAATCTGTCCTCAAAGGTAATTTGAGTATCGGCAGATAAATCTTAATGGCAACTGAATAAAATGGTTTATACACAAAATAAATGACCTTCGAGCAGTTTTGCAGTTTTTAGCATACAGATCCTGTACACGTTTTATTAGATTTACACCTAGTATTTGATTTTTCTTTGAGCTGTTGCAATGCTTTTTGCTTTTACATTTTGGTTTCCAATTGAACACTGCTAGTATATAGAAATGAGATTGATTTGTGCCGCCCTTATATCCTGAAACCTTGCTAAACTCACATTACTCATAGGATTTTTGTTGACTTATTTCCTGGGTAGATTCCCTGGGTGTTTCTACATTGACAATCATGTCATCTATGAGCAGAGACAGTTTTATTTCCTCCTTTCCGATCTCTATGTCTTTTCTATTTCTTGCTGTACCTCACTGGCTACGACTTCTAGTACAATCCTGAATAGGAATGTTGAGAGTGGACGTCTTACCTTGTTCCTAATCTGAGAGAGAGAGCACTCAGCATTCAGTCTCTACGATTAATCATGACAGTAACTGTAGGATTTGTATAGATGCCCTTTAACAGGTTGAGGGATTTTCCTTCTATTTCTAGTTTGCCAAAAGTTTTTATATGTGGATGTTGTATTCTGTCAAATGTATGTGGGTTTTTTTTTTTCAGGGGAGGGAGGGTCTATTGACATAATTGTGATTTTTCTCTTTAGACTGTTAACATAGTAGATTATATTGATTTATTTTCAAATACTGGACCAGCTTTGCATTCTGGGAATAAGACCAAACATGGTCATAGTGTATTATTCTGTTTTAGATGTTGCTGAATTCAATTTGCTAATGTTGTGCTGAGGATGCCTGCACCGATATTCACAGGTATCTGTAGTTTTCTCTTTTTTGTACTGTCTTTGTGAATATTGCTTATTTTTATAATCTGGAATTTGGCACCATGTGCTAATAAATGCTTCTTAAAATCAAAATTAGATTTAAAAACTAAAACTAATAGAAATAAACTCAGATTTTATCAAATGAGCACTATAACCACACATAGAAGAATTATTTCAGATGCCTTTAAAATCCAGCATTTTAACTAATATATTACATATATCTATGGGATATAGCCTTAGGACAAAATGAACCACAATGATATCTTCAACTGCATTTACTGGTAACTCAACATCAGTATTGTTACTATAAAACCACCATACACACACACCCCATCTCTATCTTACCTATCTATGTGTATGTATACACATATAAAGCAAGTAATTAGTTCTGTTAGTCACTTACTAGAAACCATGATCTTTAGTGTAAAAGAAAGTAAACAAATATTAAAAACCCTTCTTCATTTGACTTGGAAATACCAGTACGGATGCGTGACCTATTTTTCCCTTTCAAAAAATAGAGCACTTTCTAGCTCTGCCCAGGGCAAATGTAAGGACAACCAGTAGCAATGAACATCTTCAGCACCAGAATACAGTCTCCATCAGGGCTCCCTGAGCAATAACTGACTCCTGGTTAGGAGCAGAAAAGGTACAAGATGAGCCAGAGACATCCTGTGATGCCTGAAAGCACGGAAGCTACCGAAGATCACTGTCAACATGTCAAAAGAACACAGGCATCAATACGAAGGGAATCCCACTGGCCAAAGACAGAACAATGTGTCAAAAAGTAGAATGACACTCAAACGTATAAGGGTGAGAGGAGCCTCAGTGCTCATGTTTCGGGCCTTCATTACTCTGAAAATTGCCTAATAAAAGGCAAGAATCAATCAGTTAGGCTGTCTTTTCTACATAGACTGGATTTTAGGTGATCAGATATTCGATGAGGAGAAGTTTCTCTTTTACAGAAGAAAAATAAGTGCAGAAGAAATTAAACGAATTTGAAAACCATCATTTTGCTATCTCTAATGAAACAATGGTTCTAAGCAACAATCATCAATAGCTGCTAAATGTGAAAGGTTGTTGGGAACTTTTAATGTTGATGGGTCAGAATAATACGTTCTGATCACTGATATCCGGTGATCAACTTAACATTACTTAAAGAAAAACCCAATGTTACGTGCATCTTTCCCCATATGCAGATAAACACACACTCATTTAAACATGAGATACTATATACAACACGCTAGTTTCTCACTAAAATAACACAGATATCAGAATTTCTATATAATGAAAACTCTTTTATAACATCATATTTAATGAATGCACTTTATTTCTTCACTTATTTAACCTTGGAGTAACAAATTCTAACGTCCACGGGGCCAGGTCTGTAACCTAAATGTGTAAAGCAGTCCAGGTGTTGGACGATGTGAAGTTAAGCTGTCATAAACCAGAGAAAATATGCCTGGCAATCAAACTGGTCAAATTTAATTTTCTAAAAAAACCTCTAAACAAGTAAA